TGCGACAAGATCTTTAGTTAAAAAAATTAACAAGATTGACGGGCCTGCGCACATGATATTTTTATACCAAGCTGTCGTACCGTTTAATAAAAAAATTTTACCAATTGTTAAGTACGTGTGCAATTCAAATCAGTCTGCGTCAAGCGCTGCCGATCTAGGGATATTCGGGCCTCGGGCCCTTCCGATTCGGCCTTCGGCCACCTTCGGCATCTCTCTTGCGTCGGTAGTGCCTCTCTCGAGCCGCGTACCGGTAGAAGCTCGTTATAATTTGTCGAGGGCACACATCTTTCCCCGCCGTCAGTCCGTACATTTGTTGTATTTGTTAAAGGTGCTCGGTGGTGAAACTACGGTGTTCAAGTTAATAAAATTGATAAAAAATCAAAGACGTCATTGTCTTATCCACGTCATTCTTGAAGAAGCTTTTACCCGAAGATCACGCGTGGAGAGCCTTCAGGCCCACAGTTCGCCTTCCTCGCACAAAACCGGAAGAAACGAACACCAATCTTACAAATGTTATCAGACATTCCTATAATAGATATCACGCATTTAATTAAATCAGTGTGCAATTGAGAATGTTTCAGCAAGGAACATAAGCGAATAAAAGATTTTTTTGTTAGATGCACTGCCATATTATGTCAAACAATTACCATCGACAGTTTTACTCAAATTTGTATCGATTGTATTAATCATAGCGTTTTCTGAAACGGGGAAACTTGGGAACGATATTTTAGGTAGTTTCCATGCTCAACAACGTCTCATAAATATATCAGAACGCATGACGTAATAAGTTACGAAAATTGTACTGCAGACGAATATCATAGTGAGGATTCTAACAACGAATCGTTCGAGTACAGACAAGACAGTCGTATCAGTCATTTGTTAAAAAATATTGAACAAAATAGTCAACGTTTAGTTAATTCCGGAGATAGGCCAAATCCTTACTACTGTCCAGATTTTGGCACCAGTTTATTAAAAATGTGTAAGCAATTTCCTTTATGGACAGGTGTAATGGCGTTCAATAACGGCATCAATGTTGCGTCTTCAGCCAAAAGCAAAGAATATTTTAATGAACTAAAAAATTAATTTTTGGCGGGATTAAAAATATGCGTGCGGATGTTTCTGGTACGACATATTCGATCATTAGTGGGTACCGCGAAACTTTTAAAGGCTTCCATAAATTGCAGCGAACAGGAAACTGTAGAAATTGCACAATTTTGTGTAACCAAATTACACGAAAGTAAGAAAAATATTAATGATGAGACCAAAATTTTAAATATCTCGAATAGGGATATAAAGGATGACTCCAAAGTGTTATTCAACATGTCTGAGGAAGAGCTGCCCGAAATAAAAAGTTCTACTGAATCTTTTCTTAATTGAAATTGAAGTGTGGAAACCACATAAACAAGATCGGAAGAGCACACGTCT